GCTGCAACCTACCAGAAAGTGTGCCGCATGCGCAGTAGAGAGCGCAATAACGTCATAGAGAGCATGCGCAGTGTTTGCGGAAGTAAGCACTGATGCTAACGGTGGAGCATAGCTTACTTTTAAGTTGTTGTCCGACCGGAGCCAGCACATTAACAACTTAATCCTTATTATCGTCCGCCATTGTTGTTTTTCTTCCCGCTTGCTTGTATCATGGCGCAGAGTAGTGACGTTTGTCGAGTACAAATGACTTTCAGGTCGGATGAACGCGACCTGATAAGACACAGATCGCAGGACCCAGAATTGGGTCACTTCAGGTTGCAATGTGAACGTAGCCAAGATTGAATTTAACAGAATAAATACACCAGCTCTAGCTGCTTTCCAGAGTTTTTCCAGCACCACGAATCACTGTTTTATTTCTCATGGCTGCCCATCCAAACAAAGAATGAAACTCAGGACCAGCACAGAGGTAAATGCCAAAGCCACAGCGGCAACAAAGATATGTTTACTTGATTGTCCACATCCAGATTATTTTAGCTCGCGGCTAAAGGAACATGTTGCATATTTCGGGTAGAATGAGGTAGCAATGTGTCAGTGTTCGCCTGTCCAAAACAGGAAGTCATCAACCTTACATTCTCTGCTTTTGTACAAACACAGCAATACATTAGCAGAAGTCTGAGAAACTTAACATGGGAAGAGGTAAACGTTGCACCACTTCAGCATTACAAGTAGTTCCCTGCTTAAACACGTCTCATTTTCACAGCCAACAGGAAATAAATGTTTAAAACTAAACCTAAGTGATTAAATAAAAAACAGTAAATAGATCCATCCACTCTGCACACTTTCTTCTTCTGACAGTTTCTGAGAAAACATTTTCTTGTATATTCCCTGAAATTCTTGATGAAAAGCATATAGCATCAGTCAAGTTAACCTGAATAATTACAAAATGCATCAGCAAAAACAGTTAAAGACAGACACTACGACACCAAGCTAAGGCTTTATGGTCTCTGCTAGCTGCACTTTAGCAACTACATTCAGATCATTATGCAAATAAATGCAAGAAGCAGAAATTATTAGTGTCACTGAAACCCAAACAAAGTCCATTAAAGATATTCACTGTGTGTTCTGCAATCCCTGTGAAGTTAATAAAAGAGAAAATACTCCTAACAGGTACAATAAACTGAGATGAAACTATATTTATGTGAAGGTTTCAAATGATGGAGTAAATTAAAAGTGATTAAGTGAAAAAAAAAGACAGTTTTGTGCGTGACATTATTTTTCCCTGAAGGTCCCACTTTTTAGGTTCGAGAGGCATATTAGGTGCATCAGAGACAGATTTTAAAAGCTTTAATTTGGTCCCTTAGAGGAGGTGGAAGACGAAAAGGATGGACTCTGAGAGGAGGAGAGGGCGCTGAAGCCGCTGGTTCCTGCTGGAGTTACGTTCTGCGACGACATGGGAGCGGAGGTCTTCTGGGCTAACAGGGTCCCTGCAGCACAGAGATAAGACAACACAATCAAGTCTCATCAATCTGTGCAAATACTACTGTAAAATTAGCCCTAAACAGCAGCTTGCATTGCCCAGCAGAAGCATTCCCAACCCTTAAATTACATTTTTTACATTACATCCACAAACATCAACGTATTTAATTGGGATTTTATGCAATAGACCAACAAAAGTGATAATTTTACAGGGTTTCCCCCAGAAAACCTGGTTTGCTCAGTGGTAGGGACACTATTTTGGTCTACCGTGTTTTTGAAATATTGAATGTTTCAAAAATTTGGAGATGCAAAATTTGGAAATAATAGCTTGTGAGGCCAACAGGTCGGTGCCCAGTTCAATGTGTCAACCATAAATGCAGCTTAAACTGACTTTCATGTCACTCTTACTGGTGTATAAAAAAGAAAAACTATATGAAAAATAATGCTTAGCCTGGCAGGAGGCAAGCATAGCCTGGTGGCCCGCCAGGCTTATAATACACTGGGGGAAACCCTGAACATGGTGTTCAACTTTTCAACTGAAAACCATGTGTCCAAACTTGAGGCATGTGACACAATGTGTTGATGCAACACATTAAAATTATGTGGTTGTAACCAGGGATGCACCGATCCACTTTTTTCCCCACTTCTGATACCGATATCTGAGGTTTATTATCGATCAATACGGATCCGATACAGAAAAACAGATCTGGTTGATTTAAACACAGACATAAATGCACTGAATTACAAATTTATTTGATATCTATGCACCAGTTCAGCACACTTAAATACAGCATAAGCTTCACAATCTTAAACATGTAAGAACAAAACAACTTTAAGTTGTTCAGTGAATGCAATTAGGAGTATAAAAGTCGATCTAAAATAAATAATAAACATAAAACTGACAACAGGTTAGTCAAACGTAAAAAACTGCAACAAACCTCTCAAATGGTTCACAAATTCTAGAAATACTGTAAAATAAATAATAAAGCATGTCGTCACTCAGAGCACAAAGCATAGAATTAGACTGAATAGATCTGACTTTACGGATCGGTCACATCGTCACCGATACACATAGAATTTTTTCAATATCAGGGCCGACACAGAAATGAATACCGGATCGGTTCATCTCTAGTTGTAACAGAATTAAAAACTCACGGTGGATGAACAGTTTTCCAGGCACTGCGTGTTTCATAACTGACCTGAGTAAACTGTCCCGTTGACCTCCACAGATACACTGATGCTAGCCGGTCCGTTGGTGGAGATGCTGAGAGACAAATCCTTTTTCTTTTCTGCAACCCAACGAAGCCAGTTAATAGCAGTCCTTCCACATTGTTATCCAAAACAATCTATTAATCAATTGACATAATGAACTAATTTGGTAATTGATTCATCGTCAACTGCTGTTTACAGACTTAAATAAAGCTCATTAGCTGGAAGAACAACATATTAGGGTCAGTAATTAAGCCTAAACTGTACAAAATATATAAACATTTTGTATTTAACACAACAACAAAAAAAACTTATTTTCCTGCAAATATGTTCTACCCAGAACTTCTCAAGTGGCATTTTAGTTTCATCTGGTTCAAATTCTGTTATCAATAAGAAAAATCACTTTAAGCACCTCTCACTGTCCAGTTATTAATTGGCTAAGCAAACAATCTAAATATGAAAAAATAAATTCAACAGCACTAGACTGTGTTGATGTGAAGTCAAGCAGGAAGGCCTGAGCTTTTCACATGTTGGTGGTAGAAGTATATTTTTTTAGCTGCAGATGCATCTGTGATACAATGATCAAGTGTTCCCTAAAGAAATACTAAGTTATTGCATTTTAGGCAATAAAATGTTTATTTTCATATTTAAAAATGAAATTAATACTTATATGCATTGTCTTATGTATCTCTAATAAAGGATAAAACTTAAAAATCTGCAGAAATTGCTAATTTTTAAAATACATCTGATTAATCAACAGAACAATCTGTTACTAAAATAATCGCTATCTGCAGCCCTAATCGGTTGTGGTGAGGAACCAGCAGCAGATGTGACGCACCATTCCCGTTGTTGAGCTTCAGGCTCACGGGGTTGAGGTGGGACGCCATCGCCAGCAGGTTCTGCTGCAGCGCCTGCTGCATGAGACGCTGCTGCTCCTCCGCAAGACGCATCATTTTCTTCTCCGGACCATCAACTGGAGCGCCCCCTGCTGCTCGATCCAGCCTCTCCCTGAGATGCTCTAACGTGGCCGGCTGCTGATGATGTGGATGATTGTGCTGCTGCTGCTGCTGCTGCTGCTGCTGGTGGTGGCCCAGAGCCATCGGCAGCCTGGATATGACTGGCGTTGAGTTCTCATCTGGTTATAAAGGAAATAAAGAAAAAAGCTGGAATTACTCAGGCTAAATCACTCTTTTAGTTTTCCTTTTAAATATACATCCAGAATTTACACACTGGTTTATAAGTCTGGCGGGTCACCAGGCTTAACTTGGCCCCCCACCAGGCTAAGCAACCTCCATTTTTAGCAACACAACTCAAAAACAAAATCTTACCAAGTAATTTTGGTCTAGTTTAATGTAAATATCTCACTACACTTGAAATAAGACAAACTAACTTAAAAGTAACTTTTCAGCAAGATGTAGAACTTTTTTTAAGAAAATTATTTATAAATATTGATGAAAAAGTGCTGGTTCTATTGGCAGATAAAATAACTTACATCATGGGTAAATATTTTGTTATAAGTGAAATAATCTACTAATGGACAAAGCACTTTTTCTTCAATATTAAGGAATTATCTACTTAAAGTCTCAATATCTTGCTGAAGTTACTTTTAAGTTAGTACACTTGAAATAAAACAAACTAAGATATGTGCACAAAAATTAGACCAAAATTACCTGATAGGATTTTGTGTTTTTGCAGTGTTGATTAACATAAATAAGGTTCCAAAACACAAAAACATATCACATCCTCCTTGTTTTGCATCAAACCTAATCATTTAATCAGTATACTGTTCGGTACCTCCTCCTGCCCTACCTGTACTCCGTTTTAAATTTGACCCGGCAGACAGGCTCATGTTGATGCCATTGTGAGCGGTCGGGGGAGTGTGCACGGTTGGGGAGGTCAGGAGGGAATGCGGGGCAGAAGTCTGGGAAGGAGAGTAGCGGTAGAGGCTGCTGGTATAGCTGGGACGGCGTCCCTCTCTGCGGTTGCTGTCGATCGCCGCCTGCAGCTCGCCTGGAGAGCTCAGACCTTTCTTAGCGCACTCAAACGGATACAGGTATTTCATATACCTGCAGGGAGACATTCCACAAGAAAGTTATCACAATAAAAATAATTTACAAAAGCATTTAATGTGTAAAATGTTAGGGGTAATTTACTCTCATTTACAATTTCAGCTGCAACAGTTTTGTAATTTAATCAGGGGTGAAATGATTAATCGGATTAACTTAATTTACTTTATTAGGACAGTGCACATTAACCGCAATTCATGGCTGTGTAAATATGCAGGAATTAGCACAATGGCTAAATTTTATCTTTTGTTTTAAGACAACTGACTATACAATTCAGAGGAAAGAATACAGAACACATAGATCTATTAAAAAAGAAAAAAAAAACATCAATACAGAAAACATTATCAATCATGATTAACTGGTTATTGAAATAATCATCACCTAATTTAGTAATTGATTAATTGTTGACTGGAGACAACACATTTAAAATAGGCCAATTTCTGAATGAGCAAAATTTTCAGATGAGTAAAATGAGCCAAAAATTTACAAAATATATACAATGTATAGGGCTGCACAGTGGTTCAGTTGGTAGAGTTGTTGCCTTGCAGCAAGAAGGTTCTGGGTTCGATTCCCGGCCCCAGGCATTTCTGCATGGCGTCTACATGTTCTCCCTGTGCATGGTGGGATCTCTCCGGGTACTCCGGTTTCCTCCCACAGTCCAAAAACATGACTGTCAAGTTAATTGGTTTCTCTAAATTCTCCCTAGGTGTTTTCCCAGTCTGTCTCTGTGTTGCCCTGAGACAGACTGGCGACCTGTCCAGTGTGTACCCCGTCTCTCGCCCGGAACTGGAGATAGGCACCAGCACCTCCCGACCCCACTAAGGGACAAGAGTGTATAGAAAATGGATGGATATACAATATATATGCATTAAACATAAAAATAACACCCATTGTTTATAAATATGTTCAACTCAAATTTCCTTAAGTGCCACAGATTAAGTTTCATCCAGTTCAAAAAAAGTCTTATTTTGCAATCAGTTAATCCAAAAATAATCAAAACAGCCTTACCAGCCATCTAAGAGAGACAAAGACTGTTGTCATTAAACAATAAAAAATGTGATTCAGATCAAGAATAATTCTTAATCTTTAACAAAAGTCTGAAGATTTAGGAGTTTGCTCTGAGACTTAATACGCTCAGTCTTCCACTTCACAACAAAGTATTTCTGTATGTTGCAAAGGAAAAAAAAGAAATATATAATCTGTGGTTGTAATCGAGCCGTTGCAAAAAGGATTTAATCGCATAATAAATTAAAATGAGCTCAATAAATTCTGATGATTAATATTTATTTAATTAATATTTATTTATTCTGTTTACAGAGACTTCATTATATATATATATATATATATATATATATATATATATATATATATAAAATGATATTTTGGGTTGTTGTGGGGTTCTTTTGTGGATATTTAAAATATCCTTCAGATCCTGTGTTAAATGTTATTTACAAAATTATAGTTTATTGATCTTTAGGAGCAATTGCTATTATTGATATATTACTTGAAAATGTTCTCAAAAACAACAATGTTATCACAATAATTACCGGGACAATTTATCGTCCAACAAACTTTGTAGGGTATTTGTGGGATATTTTACAGGCTATAAATATTTTTGTAAGGTACTGCTTATAGCTGGTAGATTTTTATACCAAATAATCAATTAATTACCCAACTTCCTTTAAGAATATTTAGAAATTAGTTCAAACGGAACAAGCAGTTTTTTTCATAGCGCTTCTGCATCTCCTCATTATGAATATAATTCTCTTTTCCTGTTGTGTTTCGGAAACACAGCCTCGGGTATTTGCGTTAAAAATGAAGACGTACTGCGTGCGCAGGGTGAAGGCTGCGCTGGTGATGGAGGTGGGCAGATTGAGGCCTTTGGTGATCTCTCTCCAGATCTTCTTGTTAATGACCTCCACCAGTCCTCCCTTCTCCGTCACCAGCTTGTAAAGCCTGTACAGGTCCAGCACCTGTTTCGCCATGATGGGAATGCGGTTCACAGGAGTTCCTGCACACGCAAAGGAGCGGATGTAAGGAAAAACCATTGACCATATTAGTAGAAATTAACCACGAAGGTTCTGTTAGGCTACCACTGCAGCCGGAAGTGACCAAAATCCGATTTTCTGTGAAATCCCTTTTATTCTGTGAGGTCGTTGGAATATGTGACTTGTATGTGATCTCTCGTATTAACTGCAAACTGCCTGAAAGTGCCCCGCATGCGCAGTAGAGGGCGCAATAGCGTCACAGAGAGCGTGCTCGGTGTTAGCGGAAGTAAACATGGATGCTAACGGTGGAGCATAGTTTACGATTTTGAAGTTGTTGTCCGACCGGAGCCAGCACAGTAACAACTTAATCCTCATTATAGTCCGCCATGGTTGTTGTTTTTCTTCCCGCTTGCGCGTATCAGGGCGCAGAATAGTGACGTTTGTCGAGTATCAATGACGTTCAGTTCGAATTATCCTTTTTTTCGTACAACTTTACTTAATCAAAATAAGCATTCAGGTAATCAGGTATTCATAGTTTTGAGTACATTTAAGATATTTAACTATAACTGGAATTCAGATAAAAAAAATAAATAAATAAACTGGGGATGATCTTAGCACTTTTTGTTTATGAATAAAGCATTTTGCCAGACAGAATATGAGATTACAACAAAGTTCTATTTTTTTTAAGTTTGTTTTTCAATAACTCTCCAAAAGTTACCACATCTCTAGAAACAGATTCAGGAAGCTTTCCGGTCGGCTGAATGCAACATGGCAGGTCGCATTCGAAAAAATCCGATCTGTTCAGACGGTCATGAAAAGATGAGGTGCAGGTCACGTTCAGGTAAAAAAAAAAAAAAAAGGGGAAAAAATGTATTTGTGTGACTTCAGGCTGCAGTGTGACCGTAGCCTTCATAGACTGTTGACAAGGGCGGCTCAAGCGGCAGGATGAGAACATTTTCTGACTTCCACACCTGAGGGCGTTAGGTTAGGTTGGTGTTAGGTAATGAGGTTTAGCTGGTATAATTCATGTGGATTGACTCGACAATGAAGCTCATTTCAGACTGATGGGGGTGGGGAACAGCGGCTTTTGTTGCCGCTTTCATTTGATTACAGAGGGAGGGGGGCTGGTGGGACCAACCGGGTCTGCAAGTCACACTGGTTGATGGCCAACTCCTCCACTTCAGATTTGGAGCAAAGCCAATTAAAGGAGGAGACGAAAACACAGCTGCAGAAATACGACTAGTTTGTGCTTAAACTGAACACCTGCAACAAACTCACACCACAGCTCCAATTTCTACATTAACTAATAATAATTTTGCAGAAATATTCGCAGTTTTAACTTTTTCTCATTTTAATTGATCACAAGCTTAAATGCATTTTACTTTATATTTAGAGACAAAAAGTGAAGTGGGGTGATAATGATTGAACTTTTACACAACTTAAATTTGAAAAGTATGGCATGCATTTGCTAAATCAACATTCAAAATGTTTTAAATCAAAGCATATTAATGTGTCAGAATGGCCCAGTCAAAGCCCGAACTAAATACAACCTAGAATCTGTGGTAAGACTTAAAAGTTTATATTTGCAGATGCTCTTTTGCAAAGATTAACAAACAGAAAATTTGGTTTCTAGATCTGAAAAGCAGGAAGTGAGGAACAAAAAGGGGTTATTTAAGTAAATACAGATACAATTCACACTTTTAAATTCTTCCAACACGTGGAAGAAATTAAAAATGTCTTCCACGTGTTGGTCTATCTCTTAAAACTCCAATACAACAGATAGAAGTTTATGGTTGCAATGTAAGAAAATGCTTGAAAGGGTTTGAGTAGTCTTGCATAACAAGATATAACAATTTTTTGAATCCGATATTAAAATAAAAGAAACAAAAATCTTCCTAGTATAGAGACTCGACGTTGTCAAGAAAAAAAAAACTGCATCAAACAGAAAAAAGTAATAAATTTACCCCGTTTCTGCATGAAGACGAAGAGCTCATCAAGAAACTCCTTCCTTTGTGGATCACTATCCAGTTCATAGAGCTGCAACAGAAAAAAAGCTATTTAACACAGAGGGGTTCTTTTTTATAAATATACATATTTATATTATTTTATTTCCTACGCCGTCCAACCTTGGCAAAGTCTCTGGACGGCTCTCCTCTCGCTTTTGCTCCGTCAGATTCCTCCGTCCAGACGCCGCTTCCTCTCTGCAGACACACAGACTTCATTTTTATCACCTGCAGGTTTGGAAGTTTACTTCCAGCAAATTTTAGAGAAGCAGGCAGGATAAACAAAAACTCATCACATTGGAAATCGGGATAATATATTATCATGTTTTTTGATGTGCACAAACTGTCCAGATTTGTAGGAAACCTGATTTACTTTCACAGTTAAACATTTTCCTACACTGAAAATCTTACAAAGTATTTTTTGTTCTACTGCACTTATCTTAGTACACATGAAGTAAAACAAAACTAACTTACAAGTGACTTATCAGCAAGATATAGGAGCTGGTTTTAAGTAAATAATTCCTTAACATTGATGAAAAAATTCTAGTTTCATTGGCAGATGATTTCACTTAAAGCATGAGGAAATTGTCTTATTAGTAAATTCATCTTGTCTGTTTGCTTCACTGCAAATATGCAAAATCTTACCAAATATTTTTAATCTAGTTTGTAGTGTAGATATATTAGTACTCTTGAAATAAGACAAAACTAATTTACAAGTAACTTTTCAGCAGATATAGCAGCTGATTTTAAGTCCACAATTCCTTAATACTGAAGAAAAAGTTCTAGTATTTCACCTATAACTTGGGAAAAATATGTTACAAGTGAAATAATCTGCCAGTGGAACTAAAACTGAATTATTTACTTAAAACAAGCTCCTATATCTTTTAAGTTAGTTTTGTCTTATTTACATACTTGGTAAGACTTTATGTTTTTGCAGTGTAATGCTTTTCTTGCGACACATTAAATTCTGACAATTCAAACTTAATCTCCATCTAACCGCAGCTTCCTTTTCCACCTCTTTTTGGGCGGCACATCGTCCTTCCGGTGCGTTTTTCCGGGGACGCCCGCTCCTGGGCAGAGTGGAAACTGTTCTGAACTTCCTCCACTTGTAGATAATTTTTCTGATAGTGGACCGATGAACAGACAGTTCTTTAGAGATCCTCTTGTAACCGTTCCCTGAGCTGTGCAGATCTATGATCCTTCTCCTGACGGCTTCTGAAAGCTGATTTGATCGAGGCATTTTCACCTCTGCAGTTCGGAGACGATGAACTGGTGTGCCTTTATTTGCAGGGAGGGGCCCCAATCCTGTCTGCTTAATTGAAACACCTGACTGCAAGTGGAGATCGTTAGCAATCAGGATCACAAACAACCAGCAACTAGAGTTTTATGTGTCAAATAAAAGCTTTCTAAGTGGAAGTAGAGAGAATTAAGCTGCTGCAGAATGAAGTATTGAAATAAATTAACAAATCAAAAATATTCCTGTAGACATAAATATTATGCTGAATTAAAATGAGCTTTATAATTTCCATTCTGCTTAATACTTTTTGAAGAGCAAATTTGTTTACAGATATTAATAATCTATTTTATTTATAGTTTTGGTTTTGTGTGGTTCTGATTTTTATTTATTGTGTTTTATTTTGGATGTTTAAAATGTCTCCCAGTTCCAGTGTGGAGAGCTCTTTATAAAATTATACTTTATTTCATACGGCGAGTACGTGCGTCACCTTCCTGAAATAATGCCCCAACTCAGTTTTTTGCCAAAAGTGATTATTGCAAAAGAATAAAATATCACCCCGTTTTTATTGCCTAAAGATAATTTAGGCCAAAAAAAAAAAAAAACACTTTTGGATACAAATAACTTGGGTTATTTTTTAGGAAGTTAATGATATATTACCATCAATAATTTCTGGAGCAATTGCTTAATAATTACACTTTTTTTCCCACATGAAAAAAGCTTGTGCAATTCTTTCATTGCACAATCAGCTTTAGACTCTGCAGTTGAGCCTCCAGCTCAAAGCATCTTTTAATAGATCATGCTAGTATTTTCCAGTCCAGCTAAAACCTGCTGCAAACTATAAATGATTAAACTTCCTCAGTTTATAACTGTATGAAAACAGAGTGCTGCCGTTTCATGCTGAATGCCACCACTTCACATCCGGCCATTTTTACCCCTAAAACTTCAACATGAGTTAAATGCCAAGTCAGAGCAACACAGCAGGTCTAGTTTCCTGTTCATCACTTTTTCAGCTGCAGTCGGAGCGTTTCAGCACAAAGCTGGAAATCTGAGGTGCAAACGAAGAGGTCTGGTTAGAGACACAATCTCCCAGTCATGCAAAATTATGTTTGCTTATTAACCACCACAGTCAAACTCGCGTTAAATAGCAAGTCAGTTCTCCCCCACCGTCATGTAAAGTAGCTCTGAATAATCCCAAATAAAGTTCTGATGTCTTGGTTGACATCTTAAAATTAAAGGTGTTGTCTGTACAAAGCTTGCAAACCTAAAAAAATATCCGATTGTAAAATGATATCAAACAGGCGAAGAGTACCAAGGAATTTCCAAACCATTCACTGCAAACCCTCCTCCCCCCCAAAAAATCTTCCCCTTTGTTCTACTTTCTAATGCAAATATCTTAGCACACTTGAAATAAGACAAAACTAACTTAAAAGTAACTTTTTAGCAAGATACGGTCGCTTGTTTTAAGTAAATAATTGTTTAAAATTGATGAAAAAGTATTTGTTCCACCAGCAGATACATTAACCTAAAACATACCTGGTAAGATTTTACGTTTTTGCAGTGTTAGATCTAGGAGCGAGTAATATGGACTTCAATCAATCAATCAAATTTTATTTGTACAGCACATTTCAGCAGCAAGGCATTTCAAAGTGCTTTACATCATAAACACAAAAACACAGTCATGCAGCATAGAATCAACAATCGAAACTTTACATTTAATCAAGTGCCATCGATAAATTCGTAATTGATTACATTTCATATACAACTCTAAGCAGGTGGGTTTTTAGTCTGGATTTAAAGGAACTCAGTGTTTCAGCTGTTTTCCAGTTTTCTGGAAGTTTGTTCCAGATTTGTGGAGCATAGAAGCTGAATGCTGCTCCCATATGTGGTAATAATTCGTATACGTATCTGATTTCTTTCAAAGCGTCTGCAGTCTGAACGATCTTACTGCAGTTATCTGACATTTATGTCACTGATGTGAGACGTGCGTCAATTCTGCACCAGAAAAAGCCAGCAACTGTAAATCCAGGCGAAAACGACGCCAGAAAGTTATGATTATGAAATAAGTCTGTCACTGAAATGCATCACAGACCCACCCAAATAAAAAATCAATCGTTATCGCATCGGCCATCTGTTGTAATAACGTCATATGAAGCCTTATTATATCAAACATCTGTTTTAATTGTATAATTTGACCCTTATCATTGTATCAAATCCTTATCGTTAATTTCCAGATGGAATCGGGCCCCTTTAATAATTTAAAGTCTTATCTTAATAAAACATGAATAATTTATACTCCCCCATGGAGCTTTCTGGAAGTTTTCAGAAATATGCAACTCCTCTACTGAATTACATGAGTTTTGACCCAGTGACTTCCTCACACGGATGGACGCCTCTCCCGCTTCTTGGATTTAAAAAAACCCTCTTTTCCGTTTCACTTAGCCAACTGCAGATTGACTTATTTTTCAGTAAGCAACAGCTGTTGGAGACAGGCTGCTGAGTTATCCGATACAAACTGAGAGCAAGACAGCGAAAGAGACAGAAAACATTTGTTCATAAGATTAAACTATTGTAACAATGCTCTCATGGTGGGATTCCCAGCTTCAAGCAGTTGAGTCGGATCTTAGCGGACTAGCTTCTCCACCTCACTTCACAACCTGCTGCTTTTTGTCTTCAGGTTTTCTCTTGCACAGACTTCTGGGAAGTAACCAGTTCATGGACTGGAAGCTGACAGACCGAGCTTGGAGTCTGACAGAGAAACGAGATCCCACTGGGAACACCGGGTGGTGTTTTTTCTCCATGCTGGATGAAACAGCTTCAGCAGACACAGAGCTTGATCCATTGGAGTCGGGCATAGCATGTTCGGAGTCCTGGAACGTGGGAATCTTGGGCTGAATCAAGGATTCAAACGCTGATGGAGGTAAGACCAGATTTTTATCCAGGAGTGGATAAAAATCTGGGATGAAAAAGAGGATGAAGCATCAGTCATGGAGCAGGGTCTCACGATGGTTTGTCCATCTGTAGTCTCTGAGGTTGGAGCAGATGAGCTACATGCTAGTTGATTAGCTTCCTGCTGTTTTCTCTTTTAACGCAAACCATTTTTCAGAGCAAGTGGTTCTTCCTCTTCAAATGCGACAAGTAGAAAAAGATGATCTCAGAAAATATTTAAAGCAGAAAAGCGGAAATCCCGCCCCTTTATCTCTATTGGCTCATTCAAACATAAACTAAAAAAGTGGGATGGGCATCTGCTGGAGGAAAACGGGAAGATAAGACCAGTCAGGTTCTCCAGAGTCCTGCTAACGACCTCATTATTTGACTCGGGTGTGTAGAAGTAGAGACACAGCTAAACGTTGCAGGAAACCGGCCCTCCAGGCCTGGAGTTGCCCACCCTAGAGGTTTCCCCCCACCACTTGTTTATCCAGGAGGGAAATAAATCATGCATGTCTTATTTTTTGTTTAAAATCTGAGCTCTGCAAGCACAGATAGAGACAAAGACGGGGTCACACGCATGGAAAAGCGGGGTTTTTTTTAATCCAAGAAGCGGGAGAGGGCTCCATCCGTGTGAGGAAGTCACTGGGTCAAAACTCATGTAATTCAGAGGAGGAGTTACATCAGCAAGTTGCATATTTCTGAAAACTTCCAGAAAGCTCCATGGGGGAGGGTATAAATCATGCATGTTTTATTAAGATAAGACTTTAATATAAATGATTAAAGGGGCCCAATTCCATCTGGAAATTAACGATAAGGATTTAATACAACGATAAGGGTCAAATTATATAATAAAAACCGATGTTTGATACGATATGACGTTATTACAACAGATGGCCGATGTGATAACGATCGATTTTTTATTTGGGTGGGTCTTTTTAATCCATCAAACTGGATTAATTAAAATTTGACACATGCTTAACGACAGATGGTCGATGTGATAACGATCGATTTTTTATTTGGGTGGGTCTTTTTAATCCATCAAGCTCGATTAATTAAAATTTGACATACTTCTAATAGAGCGCCGCTGAGTGACATCAACGCTCTTCTTCAGTGCATCAGTGTCGTTTTTCTACAGAAATCTGATTGCTGTTAGTATGAACGACCATGCAAATTAAAACAAGAGAGAGAGAGAGAGAGCATCAAGACCTGCTGAGTGAATTAAAAACAGTTTTTATCTGATGTAATGGAGAGTGAAAGGAAGTCGGTACCCGAGGCTTGAGGACAAACAGTTTAGATTTGGATTCCTAACCTGCAGCGACTCCAGGTCAAAGGTGAACCAGATGTTGTGGATTTGAGGAGAAAATGTTTATTTCAGATATTAAGAGACTCGAGACTGAACTCTGACTTGTAGCTTAAGTAAAGACTGAGACTTGTGAACATCTCTGCAGTCAGCATACACTTATGCAAACACTTACCTTTAATTTTCTCTCAAAAAGATTGTTTTTCTAATGAGTTTTACAGGTTACAGATCCTATTAAAAGATGGAAAACCTGAAAGGATTTATGTTTAAACCTAATATCTACTACGATGTTTCACAGAGATCAGACCAGATTCCACTTTGTGTTGGTAGATTAGTCAATTTCTGTTTGTCTACAAGTAATAATTACACCTCATTCAAACTGTGATCAAAGCAAATAACTGCAGTAGTTAGATGCATTTTTTGTTGACACTAATTATTCAGACTCTTACCAGATGCCACCAGTTTCTCACCAGTTTGAAAGAGTCTTTACATTTACTGAAGTGGCCTGTGAAACGTTCGGGTGGGTGGGTGTGGCTGCTGTAAGACGTATCACATGACAACGAACCTCAAAACAAAAAATAAAAAACAAAGCCGGAGTGGGGAGAGCTGAAGAGAAGGCATGTTAAAACCAGTTTTACATTCTGGTTTCACAGCCTTGGAAGTCCATTAAATCCTTTCCTGCAGCTTACAGAGGCGTCTGAACCCAGAGACCTTTAACATTACATTTAAATAATGTGAAGAGAAGCCAAGGCACTGCTAACAGGACGGACTGTCTCTGCTGTTGTGTTTATTTAAGGATCACTATTAGCCTCTACTGTATTACAGACTATTACTTCTTGGATATAAACAAAACATTGCAATAAAAAAATCATTTAATTCATAATGGTATTCCTTAAAACACAAACAAAATTAAACACAAAATTCAAATCAGCCGCTTCAACATCTTAAAAACATGAAAAGACATAAATTATCCAAACATAAACTATTCCAGCTTCTACATTTTTGTTTTCTCTCCCCACTGAATGAAAAACAAAAATTTTAACCAAAAAATTCACCAGACACAGAGAGACACCTGCACTTTTCGTTAAAGTTTCATACGTTTTATATTGGGGAAAAAAAACTGATTTGGGAAAGTTTTCTTTTTCTCATTAAAATACCAAAATTTCCACTTAACTTTTTATTTTGGTCCATCTGAATATGTAATTTTTAAGTATTGATTCAGGGGTGTGAAACTCATCTTCATTTTGGGTCATATCAAAAATCTGAATGTTCTGAAAGGGCCGGTTGCACCAGCATTTATTGATAAAACCCATTAAACTGGTACGATAGCTGTTCCTCCAGGATTTTGTGATTCTTTTTGTGATTTTTGTAATCAAAATCAGAGACTTTCTGGTGCTAATTTAGAAATATTTGCAAGGACTTTTTATGATGTTTGAACTTTATAGGATACTGACGATAACTTGACATCAGGTAAGGCTGAGGCAGCAGTCACTTAACCCCCAATTTTTTACCAATTTTGAGAAAATGTTGCAGTAAAATCTGAAAAAATGTGGGGATTTGTTGATTTTGTGACAATTTTGCAGAGTGGTCAAAAACTGTAAGGAGTTATTGACGTAATTTGGAAACTAGATGGCCACATAAAAAGCTACGGCGGGCCAGATTTGGCCCCCGGGCCTCGAGTTTGATGTGTATTAAATGATTGATAATTTGATCAGTACTAGACTTTCTACCAAATACCTTTTTACTCTTACTTGAGTAATTTCTTGGATGTTTTAATTTACTTGAATAAAATTTTCTTGAAGTAGTGCTAATCTTGATTAAATCTTTTAGGTATTCTGCCCACTTCTCGCTTTGACTGCAAAAAAGTCTTTTAAAAAGCAAAACCTTGAAAGTATCCGAATTGGGCCTTTAGCGAACAAAGCGGAGGGAGATTAAACGAGTCAGGCACTTTGGGAAGTTTAAAGTGACGTGTGTTATTCCTCAATCACCATCCCCCCCTTCAAGCAACCAGCAAGACATTAAAGGTTAAATATGTGAGGGCAGTGAGAGTGCAACTGCACAGAAAAGCCTGCTGAGAGCTCATTTTCTAGCTGAAGTGCTCTGAAAGCTTTATTATGATGCAGGCATTAAAACTGAAAGCCGACGCAGAATGTGCGTTTTTTCCACAGTATTCATTTGATTACATTGCTCCTGTTTTGACATTACAAATCCTGAATTTCTCTGCCTTAGTGGAGAATTGTCATGTAGGACTAAAGCATGTCAATGGCACACAGGTGATCCCTGTGTTTAGATGATCATGTTGTAGATTAAAACAAGCATGTGTTACAGGCAACAAACCATGTTTTTATATTAGACATAATTAAATCCCCTAAAGATTGCCTTTGTGGTCATTCATAACATAAGACTTTTCTCAAAGGCGCTTTGTTTAGCAATTATGTCTTATATACAAATCTTCCTGCTCACTTAATGTTTAATGTGGCAACAAGATGTCATTTGAGGCTAATAACCAGATTTTTTTTTAGCCTGGGAACCATTAATCAGTTAGTTCGTGTGTTTATAGTAAAAACAATTCAAACTGGAAACACTGGCACACAATTAGCAGCTGCATCGCTGTGATAAACCCAGACGTGTCGCTTGTTTCCCAGATTTACAGCCACATTCCTCTTAGAGTTAATTTCCTCTCATGCCAACAGGCCACTCCCCACACAGTTGGCAAACATTTGGTCAAAAACTACCGTCTGTCCAGTTAGGAAGTCTTTCTATGCTTTAAAATGTTTGGTTCCACTAACCTCAAAGCCTCGACCCACACTAAACTGGGAAACTAGCAGGAGATTGTAACCGTTTTGCTAGGCAACCAAGCTAACCACAGCTAGCAAAACAAACCAATACCAATGCATGTTTAACACTTGAGAAATATTTTATTTGTAGAGGTTATACAGTTGTAAAAGTGACGTCCTTCAGCTGTAAAGCACCTGATTAAGCCACCAGAAGACATACAGAGAGCGTCGGTTTAATAGTAATAATAATGGATTTTATTTGACAGCACCAAGGACACTACAACATTAAAAACACAAATTAAACAGCAAAGAAATGGCTACAAGACATAAAACCACAAAATAACTACACAATTAAAGTGAGAAGGCTTACTTGAACAGACGAGTTTTGAGTTGTGCGTTGAAGGTCAAAAGGGAGTCAATATTATACATTTTACAGTATTATTTTTGGCAGTGTCATTATAAGACACACCAGCAAAGCATCTATAAAAAAAATCCCCAACTTATTGCCACAGAAATGCTGATTTCTTACTGCATGGTAACCAGATTCTATTGTTATGGTTTGATTTTTCTGACTGAAATGCAGCAAAACTCCACCGATCTACCTTTACACTGCAAAAACACAAAGTCTTACCAAGTATTTTTATCCAGTTTCTAGTGCAAAAATCTTTGTACACTTGAAATAAGACAAAACTAACCTACAAGTACATTTTCAGCTTATTTTGAGTAAAAATACTCACTTAAAAAAGTACTCGTTCCACTGGTAGATTTTTTTTTTACTTATAACAAAACATTTTTCCTATTTTATAAATGAAATAATCTGCCAGTGGAGCCAGTACTTTTACACTTTAAAACAAGCTCATGCATCTCGCTAAAAAGTTACTTGCAAGTTAGTACATTTAAAATAAGACAAAACTAAGAAATTTGTACTAGAAAATAGACCAAAATACTTGGTAGGATTTTGTGATTTTGAAGTGTAACTTGAAGATGCTGATTTCTTTTATTGTTTTAAGGTTTTTTGATTACATTTTTTTTCTAAGTTTATCCTACATCTGGATCTATCCTGCTAGACTGCATAGATATCCTTCAGTCATTTTTCGCATACATTTTGCAGACACTCTCCTGTCTTCT